GTCACTTCAAAATCATATAATGAGATAATATAGTCCCATAACTTGTTTTCAAACATCACCTTAACTCAAAAATGAATGCTAGCAACTGAAAATATTAGAAACTGGGTTACTCTAGCCTAAAATATTACTTATACCTGCAATCAAAGGATGAGATAATTGTGTTTTATTTTGGAATGGTTGTTTCCGTTAAATTAACATTCCAAATTGAAAACGTCCCATGTGTTGGAACGGAGATTAAAATTCAAAACCACTGGAAGTGAGGATTTATAGTAACTGAGATTTTTACACAACTTAATATAGAATTCACATTTCAATTAGATAGTAGATACACTATTGAGCGGCTTTTTTACAAGAATTTTCAAGAAATTAACTAGTAGCAGAAACATTAAAACTCCATTGAAGCCAGATTCCAAACTCAGGCTATAATAAATTCTTTCTTATTTTACCAGCTAACAAATTAGCAAACATATGAGAAACTTGATCTTGTACATGTTGGAACGAATGGGTTGCGGAATTCAAATTTCCTTGTTCACTTCTACCAACTCCCTGGCAAACAAGAAAAATGGTTCTTATAAATTACACCGACTATCCACTAGGTTTTTTGACAAATATGCATCCTTAATTGGATGAGGTTCTGCTCATCCTGTTATCACATATGAGCCGATACAAGAAAATTGGATGAATAGGGTGTGGAGGGTAACCGTGTCAATAGTTGTGGTATCATAATTAATGTTGGCAGAAAGCAAGCTGCATCATTTGCCAAGATCCAAGAAATGCTTTTCAGATTTTTTGACTGCCTCAGATCATCATTTAACATTGCAACAAAAGCATGCAGCCTTATAGACATCTACTCCAAAAACTAAACATTTATGCACATATGCACATGCTCACACATTAATACACTCACAGAATACATGTGTGTGTGTATTGTGCTGGTAAATTTATTATGATGATCAAATCAGTTGTCAGCTGAATTTTCAAGGTTGGTTTTCGAGACTTAACCAATTGAAAAAAAGCTACAATTCCATGCACAAAATTCCAAAACAAGAAAACATATTATGCTTGGTTGATATGATCTTGGAGAAAATTAAATACGTTCTTGTTTGTAAGTTTTCCAAGAGTTTTTGGACATTATTACACAGATTTTGTCAATAAATGATGAATAAGATAGCAACACAGTATTTGGTGGGGAGAAGCATACTAGAAGTCCCATATTCTTGCGCATTATTTGGTGGGGAGAAGAAGCATACTAGAAGTCCCATATTCTTGGTGTACCTATAAGTAATTGGAAACTAAGTATTGTGAAGAGAGGATTTATTGACCACCTAAATCCATACTGTCATAATCAACGGTATCAGCTTGCAAGTACACAATCAAGCTCTCGTTATACACGATTTAGATAAGGCAGGATAAGTAATAATCTTTTTCAGCTTTCGGACACAAGCACGTTACAACAGCAGCAGCAACAACACAATCATAATCATAAATACATAAACAAATAGCTCACTGTGGAGTAACTGAAAGAATAGGCAATGAAAGACAACTAATGTACTGAGGGATATGTTTATGGGTCTAAGTATCATCTCAATATTTGACTAGAGCACAAAGTCATCACTTTTAAAGTATCAGAGTTGAAAAGGTTAACCTGAGCGTGAATATATTGGACATCATTTACTTGGAATTCAGGGTCAAGCTCTTCACGTTGGAGGAGAGTGCAGACACCCCTGGCTAATTCTTCCTCCATGTTTTGGTGACTGAGGACCATCAGATCAATATCTCCATCTGGAAGATAGGTTTTCAGAGGGACCGAACCAAATGCAAAGACCTGTAAAAATGGCAAGCCAATGCAAGATAAGTTGATGTTAATTTAACTTCAGGGAAAGATTGCTGCCAAGAGTCCAAATCAAGAAAAAGCAGTCATAAACGTGAATTTTGTATATCTGCACATGTTGATGCATTAAAATTTCAGATCCACATGGAGGATCAAGCAAGTGTACATGAAAGCATCAACTTTCAGATCCAAAGAATAAACATTCAACTAGGTGGCATTGCCGAGAAGATTAAGCACTTCTACATGGAACACTGCTGCAAGCTAGTTAAACTGAATATTAAAAGCCGGATTCATATAAATAACTGAGATTTTCAGGCTAAACATTCATTACAACATCCTGACAGGCTACAACAGCATGCTATATGATGATATGTGTGGACATTGCTAGTTTTTCCATGAAGAAGAAAACGCAAATTAACCAGCAAGAGATCTCTGATTTTAGGAAAATACATAAGTTTCTCTTCATAAAGAAACCAAACAAATCTAGGAGAAACCACCAAATTCATCTTACAGATGCATAACTTGAGATGAGACCAGCAATCAACTATTGCAGTTCAAATTTTCATGGTTCCAACACTAAAAGCAGAGTAGTCCCTAATGAGGATGCCCATGTCATAAATTAGTTTATTTCCCATTCCCAAAGGCAAACATCAAAAGAAACTTTTGACAGGCACATGACTGTGCATACTAACAAGAGAAGGAACCCCAAATTTATACTTCTTTGCTTTTACAATAAATGTTGGGATAAAAAATAAAAAATATAAAAAAAATGCAGACTGTTTTGTTCAATGTTTCTGCCAAAAAGAGAAACATCTAGAAAAGGTAGTGGACGATTCTCACCTCAACTGGAAAATAATATTTAATTAAACTCTGAATATAATCGATGACTTCCATCCTTTTATGCTCAGAAGCAAAAGTAGGTTGAATGGCATATAGTATCTCTTGGGTCCTTTTTTCAGCCATTAGCCAGAGTTCTGGATCAATTTGCAATGGGTGTGGACCAAGTGAAGATGAGGAAGAGGTGGAAAGGGAGGAAGGTGACAAACTCCTTTGAAGATTTCCCATATCCAGATTGTGAGATAGATGCTTCAGTTCCAGGAAAAGCAGCCTAAGAACACTCACCAAAGCAATGCCCCATTGAAAATTTCAAATCTGACTACAGATAAATCAGTACTGCAAAACACTGAAAGCAAAAAAAATTGAAAATTTTCAAATACAAGGAGGATAAAAGTTTCGGGCAGAAAATAAATGGATTAATAGAAGCCAGTATCAATAACAGATTAGGGAACCCATGGTGAGTAGTGATAGAAAAAACCAGAAAAGCATTAAAAATAAACCAGCTAAACAAGAAATTGGCACCAAGCAGAGAAGAAAACCAACAATTTCAACACTTCAAGACAAGTTGAAGCTACTTTCATATCGGCTTCAGACTGTGGCACTGCATACCATTTTCTGAAAACTTTTCTCAAGCCTTCTTATATGAACAAAGAAGAGAAGTTCCTCGCTAAAGAAAAAATCAGGAGCAACCATAAAAAATGCTTTATCTAAAAAATGAAGCATGTTCTGGTAAAATGAGAAAAGGAGCCAGGATTTGAGAAAGGAACTCTAACATAAATGAGATAGCACTATTGAGGAAAATAATTTCTCTCTCCAAATATGGATTGAAGTGATGAGCACAGAAGTGATAATAACAGAAAACAAATGTTCCTGCATCCACCTCTCTCCCTTCCTTTTCAACTTGAAGGGTAAATCAGCAAGTGGATTCACAAATGAGCATAAGTAAATTAAAATGTCGAAGAGATTAAATAAGTAAAAGATCAAATAAATCTTCTTGTTGATGGGTTTTCCTGCTATCCAAATGTAAAATACATGAGTCAGGCTTCACAGCCAAAAAAGAGTCTTTTCTGTCATAAATTTCCCGAGATTCTCTTAACAAAGTGGCTTCTTCTTCATTAATGGGCCAACATAGAAAGTAAGAATGTTATGATACTAAAGTTGTAGTTTCCATGTTTGCACATAGCGCATTTAGTGTTGACCAAAAATCAATTTTTATACACTTCTAATTATATCTCACCTAATACCTATTTTTCTAGTTCAAACTATCCAGTGCTAAATGTTTTCACATCTTCCAAGATATCGCCTATTAATTACATTCATTGCATAGAGATGCAATATTAATCAACTGAATTGATTTTCTAGCCTTTTTTGGTAAAATTACCAGATACCTAGAATAAAGAAAATTATACAAGTCTATGAGATGTTTGATAATGTTATTGTCTTACATTCATGGAATTTAACTAATTTCCATGGCCAAAACAAGAGGCTATTAGAAATCAGAGTTGCAACTGTTGAGCTCAAGGCGCCCAAATGTCTTAGGATGACCTACAGGTAAATTTTGAATGTTATGAATACAATAACCATATAACCAGAATATATCCACAAAAGTATCACAGGAACCAAACATAAAAGAGCATTTCCTTTCAAAGCAATTACGTCCATTTCCAATTACAGCACCTAGTTTGAATGAGAGACCATCCTGAGTATAGATGATAAATTGGTGAACCACAATAATTTGGCCATTATTCAGACCTAACAGTATGAGGATGCCCAACTATGAGATCCAGACACATTGATAGTCGAGAACATTCCATAGTATAAAACAGACCTAAATTAGATTTTGCGCCTGTATGTGGCCTTTTAAGTTACAAGGCAAATCCTCTCTCTCTCTCTCTCTCTCTCTGTGCAATGAAGAGCACTTTGTACTTGAACCAAGAAGCCTGACACAAATCCCCATCCTCAATGACATGTGTTAGACACAAGTGGTTGAGTCATGCAACAGATTTTACTTCATCTAAAAACTAGGTCGACCTTGTGAACCCAAGAACTAGAGTGCCCTGGCACAACTACTCACAAGCTATGGAGGACTTGTTGCGGTGCTCCGAAAGGACACAGATACCCAAAAAAACAGAGAGAGAGAGAGAGAGGTGTTACTTTAAGTAAATGAAGACATGATAAAAACTGCATGGTGAAAATTTTAATGAGAAGATAACCTCCTTGTTGGCTAGCAAGCAACCCAAGTTCTACAGTTCAAATGTCTGTCAATCCAAAGGTCTGGACAAATGGTTGGCATAGTTTCGAGCTCAAGTAGTAGACTTTGCTAAACTCAACTACATGACATTCCTAGATCAAAAACTGATATAATAGCTCACGGTGCTCATAACCAAATTGAGCAAATATCCCACTGTACCTTTTCAGAAGCAAGCAAACATGATGCTGAAACCATAGCTATGCTGAGGCATCTTCTGCAGTTCTATTATTATGATTATTATTCCTTAGCTTATGAAAATCACAAATTATCATGCTGGAATGATTCTTCCACACAACAATCATGGGAACTGTTTGATGATTTATCCCAACTCTAAGAACCAACCCACCAGGCCAAATTCTTCCATACCAGGGTAAAGTCCAGCAGTCACAGTAACAATGTGGGTATTGACTATGTGGGACTTACTGATTCGGGGCAAGACAAGCAAATTGGTGAGGAAAGGAGAGGAGAGAAGAATGGTAAAACGGAAGGAGGAGGAGAAACAACTGCTCTTATTCCATCATCATATTTTAATGAACCCTAAAACAGTATTAGGAATAAATTTCTAAAATAGGAAAACTAGAGAAAATTGCACCAAATAATAAACATAAATAGGAAATAGGAAATGCAACAAAAATCCTAAATTCTCTAATAAACCCAATTCGTTGGATAGACAAATAACAAAACCCAGCAGTTTTTATTCCCTCTCTATATAGAATATACTAAAAATAAAAGCAGCAGCAGAAAGACTCTTAAACTTGGGAAGAGGTTCACCTTGATAAGAAGAGCCAAAATGGTTTCTTTCTTCTCTTTCGCTTTGCCTTATTGCTTCGATTAGCTTCCAAATCTTTCTTGTCCTCACTGCTGCTGCTGCTGCAGCACTCATGCATGTAGTACAAAAGGCACATCATCTCCGTTCAAAGTCTCAAGCACAGAAAGAGCTTTTACACAACCATAGGGCAAGCCCCAGCCCCTGAACTTTCAGTCCCCTGGCTGAAACCAATGCCCCTAAACCACTAACTATATGATAGCACTACTCCACTACCCAGAGCCAGAGGTTCCAAAAGGAGGGGGATGATGATGACGTGGCAAGATCTTGGTGGGGTTAGCTTCATTAGTTCAAAAGAGATCTGGACCGTTCATCTATACAGTTAATTAACTGATCCATCTCACAATGTGGAAACTCCACTAAAAGTAAAAGTACCTAACCCAAACCCACTCCCCATTTCTCCATAGACCCCAAAACTGTCCCTAAACCCAAAATTCAACACTATAAACCACGGATTAATGGAATTTACTGCCAATCGGAGCTCCAAAGCGAAGGGGGCCTCAATCTTAGAGACCGGAAAGACCTTCTTTCGCAATGAAAGCGCTGAAGGTAGAGACTCCCGTCTTGGCAGCATCCCTGTACAAGCAATCCTCAGGAATAATATCATCGATAATTTGCAAATGTTTAGTACTATTCAATGTGATCAAGATTTTAACGTAAACATAAAATTACCCATTAACTTTAAAACAAATGAAAGAGAACAAGCATACGAAAAGAATAAAAATTTACAGGCTTAACAAAGCATGCTATAACCGAAATTACATATAATATTTTAAGAATAAAATAAGCACTAAAGTTTTGAATACAATATGTGCAGAAAAAGCTTTCTCCTAGACTCCCCTCCAGCTCTTGTTTCTCACCGTATTTTTAAAAAATATTTTTAAAAATTTAAATGTTATTTTATTTTAAATTAATAATTTTTAAATTATTTTAATATGCTAATCTTAAAAATACATTTTTAAAAATAAAAAAAAATTATTTTTTCAGATGAAAAACATTCTAAAAATAACTATATTCAAACTTCCAAATATTTAATTATACAAAATTATTTATTTTATTTAAAAAAAACTTTAGTTTAAATAACCTAATTTTTTTCTAAAAACCCAAATTGTTTTAAAAAAATATTCAAACATATTAATATATGCGTTAATGAAAAATAATTTTTAAAATTAAAAAATATTTTATAATTAATTTAAATTCGGGTATATGGATGTGATTTAAGCTCAATCATCACATAAATTGGAATAACTAATTCTTTTAAGTCATTTGATACAATCTTTCAATGTAGAAACATAATGTTTTTTGGATTTTAAATTTTATCAATTAAGAATTATTTAAGATAAATTTTATTTTTTACTCATAATTAATTTTATATGTGTTAATATTTCATATTAAATATTTATAATGAAGAATATTTTATAACAAAGTCTTAATCTTTTTATTTTTTTATAGATAATTAATTTTTTTATTCAGATTTATGGGTTTTAATAATCAAAAGCTCCAAACTTTAAAAGGATAATCATTGTAATATTATATACGTAGGACAAGACAACAATGATGGCGAGAATTTATTGCCTTTTGTTAAGTGTCATTTCTAACAATGTATCATGGGCTTTGTTTCTACTGTCAGCAGCGACAACATGCTTGCACAGGTACGGTTTAAAGACAAAAATGATGCTTTGACATCCTTTGGGCTCCTACTTGTTCGAAAAACCTATATATGGTGTTGTTGAAAGTTACTTAATTGTTTTCAGCAATTGCTAAAATGGGATATTATGAGATTATGGTTTATTTGTCTAAAGAAATAGAATTTCTAGAAATCAAATATGATATACATAGTTTTAAGTGTCATGCTTAATTCCTTTTAGGGATGAGCATTTTCAATTCGGTCTGATTTTCATCTAAAACATAACCAAATCAATTTATTTATTTATTTTTAAATAAAAATCAAAATCGAATTGAAATCAGTTCAAACCAACCAGTTTCGGTTCGGTTTGATTAGTTAAAAGAAAAAATCAGATAAAAAAAATTTCATCATGGCTAGGCATATTGAATGGGTTTTTCTGAAATTGAAAATAAAGAAACAAGAAAGAACAAGTGTAGGAGGAAGATTTGAAAAATACAATTCTCATAACATTCATGATAGTAGTCACAGCATCAGTATATTATAGCAAATCAACAACCTTGTAAATAAATATAATAAATAAATGTATAATAGATTTACATAAATTAGAAGATAAGTCAGTAATTGCTATGAGCAATATGATAAACTTTTCTCTTATTAAGATGAATCTTTAAGAACTCATGCAACTAATAGTGAGTGGCTACATGTATTAATTTGATTTTAAGAAAGCAACAAAAAAATTGAAAGATTAGAGATGAAGATTGAACAAGAAGGGGCTTTAGGGTTGTTGTTGGTTGTTTAATTCATAGACTCAGTTAGTTATGCTTAAAGAATAAAAAGATTGAGAGATGAAAGATGAGGATTGAATGGGCCAGCTTCAGATTGAGAAAGGCAATATTTTTAGAATGAGGCTGGCAGCTAGGGTTTAAAAAGTAAATGGGAAAAGGAAGGTATTTATATTACCACTAATTTTTTTATTTATATTTGAACCAATTTGATTTGGTCTAGTTTATTCGGTTTTAGCCTTTTAAAATCGAACCAAACCGAATTGTTTTTTAATTTTTCTAATTGATTTTGTTAAGATTTATTTTTTTCTATTTTTTTTATGGTTTTCTTGATTTAATTGATTTTTTAGTTTTTTTGCTCACTTCTAATTTCTCTAGCCATATACATTGCATGGAATCTTAGGTTATTTGTTTTGATTTCTTTATTATTATTATTATTATTATTATTATTACTATTACTACTAATACTAGTAGTAGTAGTATTATTAGTATTATTATTGCTACTATTATTATTATTGTTATTACTATTATTATTGTTGTTGTATTATTGTTATTTATAATTTGTACAATTAACCTCCATGTGGTTCGACCCCAGTCTTGCCGAGTTATTTATTACTTCGACACTCCTGCACTTGGGAGAAGACATCAATCTTTTAGTCGTGTCATAACTCATAACAAATTTATAGTTGTATACTTTTGAATAAACTCATGTTCATATTTTTTATATCAAATCCATAGTAACATAATTTACATTCATAATTTTCATCGAAGACATGTTCGTATATTTCTATACTTGTATACTTCACAATAATTCCACATTAATATAATTTACATTCATAACTTTCATCGAATGCACTTTCATATATTTCATCTATATAAATACACATTTAAATAAAATACTTCTTTAATAAAAAGAAAAAGAAAAAGAAAAAGAAAAAGAAAGGTGATGGGCACCTACTTGGTGATGCTCCTACTCCGAGTCTTACTTTTAATGTCCCACTGGAATCTCACATCTCAAATCAATACTATTTTTTTTGTTCCTTTTAACACATTTATTTCAAAAAATCATTATGTCATTTTTAACCAACTAATTTTGTTAGTTCATTTCAATATCCATTATGTCATTAATGTCTCATTAATATCATTTTTCAATTCTCAATATGTGTTATGTCAATTACTATTCATTAAAGTTATTTAACAATCTCAAGTAGATATTATGATATTTTTGTCTCATTAGCATCATTTATTTATTCAATACAAGTGTTTTGTCGTCTTTTAACTCATTAATACCATTAATTATTTCAAAAAAAAAATATTATGCCTACCTTAGCTTAGTAATACAATTCATCATTTCAAAACAATTGTTATGCCATCTTTGCTCATCATTAGCATTCAAATTTTTTTCACAGTTATATATATAGTTTTTAAACCCGACTCAGTGGTTGACCTGGTATAATGATTGAGTCACTGGTTAGATGGATTAACCGGAATCAACCCAAAAAAAAAAAGAATTTGTTGCTTGCCCTTGGACTAATAATAATAATAAGCATCGTTGAAAGAAAGAAAAGTTTCCAGAGAACAACCCTACTTGACACTTATGTTTGACTAGATTCAAAACCAAACATTGCTTGCACTTATATAATTAGCACAATCACCCTCACAACACAGTACACACAAATCCCTACCCTGCTCTTTACAAACCACCTATCAGCCACCTTCATTACCACCTTAAGCCTATCATCACCTCCTTAATTTTAGGATTTAAAGTTCCTTCTTAAAAGCATAGAAGAGATTATAAAATACAAGAGCAATGCCTACCTTCACAACCACAACTATTATATCATCTCAAAGTAGCAACCTTAGTCTCCACAAACTCAAGATTAACCAAAAAAACACAATCAAACATAGTCATAATTGGTAGGTGAATTTTTTAAACAACATATCAAACCTTAACTCAAGCAAATTTGAAATCCCTATTTTCCTAACTCTCCAAGCTGAATCAACTTGTTCCCTAATTCATCAATCGAGACCCTAATTTATTCTTTATTCTCTTATACCTCTTGAGAATCAGAAATCTCCTCTCAAAGGCCAAGTTTTTTGTGAAGAGTCAAAGTTTTACAAGATTGAAAAGATTAATTTTCTGTGATTCTGTATTTATATTACAAATGGTTTGACAATAAAACACTAAAGCAGTAACATTTTTATATATCAATCGGGTCTCAGTTAGGTTTACCCAGGTTGACCGGGTTTTGCCGGGCTAATTTTCTGACCAGTTTTCTCATCAACTCGGCTTGATTCTAGCCCTTAGGTCAGCTAGGTTAATCTACAGGACTGGGTTGGATATTAAAAATTATAATTATATTATATCATTTTTGCATAACTAGTTACATCTATTTATCTTGTCAAGCATTAAGCCAATTTTGGCTCACCAAGACCTCGTGTTCAATCCAAATACTCATCTAGTCATTTCATTTTACTAGAATCAGTCATTTATTTTATCAAACACATGGTATCCACATTTATTCAACCTATCCTACATAGGATCCCACGTTCCTAATCTTTACAGAATCCTTTCACATTAACTCAACATTACACAAAATAATTCTTAAGGACCATAATCATACATAATATACAATTCCTACTTCATAATAAAAAAACTCAACACAAAATCAACTCAAATATTAAAATTTCCAAATTGTTTTAACCATAATTGGCACTAACAAATATTAAATTCCATGTTCTAGTCCTAATTTTTCTCATTTTTCATCAAATTAATCGATTTTCAACACTAATTTACCACAATTTAACAATTACATAAAAGTATATAAACCCTAACTTTCAAATTATTTTAATTAACTTTTAATTGTGTTGCAATATCAAAACTAACCATTAATTTAGATCATTTAGCTTTTATCCCTTAAATTTCATTTACCTTAACTTTGTCATATACCTAAAGTCACCTTTTATATTCCTAATCTTGTGATTGACATTTTTTTTTACAACACTAGGTTCGAACCCAAGTTTAAGGATAATGGTATGTCAAACAAGTATAGTATAAACTCTTATTATTCAATTGGAAACCACACACAAAGGAGGTTCCAATCAGATTATAGATTGTTAACATGATTACATTAGTCATCCTATTCAATTAATGCTAATACTTGTAAATCTCATCAAGCATTCATGATTATAACTTATGTTAACAACAAATCAAGTTCCTTTCATAGCTCAAGTGTCGGTTATACCATACAGTATGGGCTATGAAAGTGCCAAGCATTTGTTGTACCAAGTGTTATACAACATAAATCAAGATTAATCATTTAACAAGCAAAGTATTAAAGAGTAAACAAGATAACAAATATAAAACATGTTAGTATCAAACATTAAAGTCCATATTAAGT